TTTCCTTGTCTGTCTCTTTATATGACATATCTATATCACATGCCTTGAGTCGTGTGGGAAGTAAGGTATATATGAGTGTATTCATTATAGAACATGAAAAGAGTCCATTTGGCCAAGAGTGGTTTATGAAATGGGAGGAAATGTTTTCAGTGGTGTGGAAAGTGCAGAGACCAGCCGTCTCGAAGGATTTGTAAAGATCGTCGGTCCCCGTGGTCTTTAAGATGTGATCCTCAGTCCTGGGTCCTGTGGGGGCACTTCCGGGACCACTGCTTGCCAGGGAATGGTGGGGAGCCCACCTCGCTCCAAACCAAACAGCTCTGTGTTCATCCCCTTTGCACGTTTAGCTTTCGTACAGCTAAAAAAAAGAACAAGTCGCAAACTACTGATAGAATCCAACTGCCCAGGTGACTTCTGGACGCCGTCTGCAGACAGAGTAGTAAGAAGCTCAGGTAAATGCCCAGGTCTGTGGTCCCTGACATTGTTGGGATCCTCAACGTGTAACTATAGGCAGGTGTGTTTTTTAGGTAACTGATCAGTGAGAGGTGCGCTTGGACCTAAGGTTGCATTTGAAGTGAGAATGCTTCGGACATATTCCCTCTAGGGGTGGGCACTGGTAATGCAGGTTTCATTGTGTTCAAAGTCTGATGGCAACAGAATTATGAAAGTCTTTGTGAAGTGGCAGTTTTAGGTTTGAATATTGTAACAGCAGGTGGAGCTAGTGGGAGGACCTCTATTTCTCAGCCATTTAAAGAGCAGCAGAATGCATAAGACTTGCATTCATGAGCTTGCACTTTAGAGCGGCAGGAATAGCAAAGCATTACGCAGTGGCTTTGAAAGTGATCTTAACTACTACAGGGTGGGAGCCAAGCTGATGCGAAGTCCTGGGTTCTTTTCAGAGAAGGGGTTTGCATTTGGATATGTGTTGCCATGGAAGATTAAAACAAGTGAAGGGCATGTAGGGCAGGGGGCAGCAGGAGAGTGTTTACATGGTTTGATATTGATGACTTCTAGAGTATTGATTTCAAAAAATACAGTGAATGATCCTGTGGGAAAACAGTGCCAATGAACTTGATTACATACATAGAGTTATTTGTGGTGTTAGATTGTTTCCCTCTTTAAGTGGTGACAACCATACAGTTGAAACCCACATTTTCACTTCAGGAAAGCTGAAGGACATCTGCTTTGTATCTGACAGCATTGTGCAATGAAGGCCTGGCTACTTTATGGCTCCAAACACCAATGAGTTTTCTGAATATGTAATTTAAAAGATATCACTACTCATGTATTTTTTTTTCTTGTGAATCATGCAATGAACCAGGAAATTGTGCTGTTTTTCCTTGTAATTTCCCTAAATCAGATGCAATGATAAGACCAAATATAATGCATGCATTTCCTTTCCTCTGGTTTTTATTTATTTTTTACTATATTATATGTAAATTGGGGTCTCAAATGATTATTGATTTTGCTGGCTATGTTATTCAAAAGAGACCTACATTTTGGCATTTGTTTACAAAGTTATAAGATCATTTCAAACAGATTTTAATACCTTTTGCTGAAAACTAGAAATAGTATCTCCCTATTATTTTATTTACTTATTCACAGACATTATGAGTGCCTACTTACATGCAAGGTGTCATGCTAAGCACTGGTGATAGAATTCTGAGCAGTAAACAGTGCTTTCCCTTAGCATGTCTCAGCCAAACGTGTGGCCAAATAATTACCATAGGACCCAACAGAGCCTATGACTGTGCTATGCGCAGAGCCACAGACAAAGGACTCCGGGGAAAGAAACCAGGGTGGCTTTCAAAGAGGAGGTCAGGCCCTCGTTGCATCTGGAGGGCGATGTATTGGGTTGGCCAAAACATTTGTTTAGTTTTTTTCCCTACAATGGCTCCAGTTGTCCTTAATTGTCTTTAACTTCTTTTGGAAACAATTTTGTTAGATTGTATTGTGACAGCTGTCATATCAACATGCATTTAAGAAAACTTATCAAAATTGGTGAATTTTTGTGTAGCCATTTTAATTTTGAAGGTGGAAGAAAATATGTGAGATTTTTGGTTTATTATGCTTTATTATGTCAAGAAAGGTAAAAAGTCAACTGAAACACTAAAAAAGATTTGTGCAGTGTGTGGAGAAGGTGCTGTGACTGATGGAACATATCAGAAGTGGTTTGCAAAGTTTCTTTGGTCAAGACATTTTGGCCGAGTAATTCTTTGCTGTGGGGCTGTCTTATGCATGAGAAGGTGTTTAGCAGCACCCCTGGCCTCCACCCACTAGAAGCCAATTGTGGGAGATAGCCGGCATACTCAAAATATCCAAATCAATCAAGTTTTTGGTGAAAATGAAAAATGGGTCTTTTATGGAAAAAAATAAGCAGACTTTTTGGCCAACCCAATGAAAATTCACTAGGAAAGCCCCGGCCAGGTTGCTCAGTTGGTTGGAGCATCAGCCGTGCACCAATAGGTTGTGGGTTCCATTCCTGGTCAGGGCACATGTCTAGGTTGCGGGTTCGATCCCCAGTTGGAGCATGTATAGGAGGCAACCGATTGATGTTTCTCTCTCTCTCCCTCTCTTTCTCTCTCCTTCTCCTTCCCCCTCTCCCCCCCCACCCCACCTTCTTGTCTCTGTAAAATAAATGAAAACATATCCTTGGGTGAGGATTTAAAAAAGTTCACTAGGAGAAAAGGGAATGCACGTTCCAGTCAGTGCGTTCCCACACGTGGAAAAGTATGGAGGTATGAGAGAGCCGACTATCTTGGAGAAACACGGGGATGTTTGCTAGGAAAGCCAGCGAGGCAGCCTGGGGCTAGATGGCGAAGGGCCTACTAAGATATGCCGTGGTCAGTGAATACATTATTCAAGAATTTCAACTCGTCTAGATGCTATTTCATTGATTAGCTTTTGGTGTTCGTGGAACTAAAGTTATGGGTTTGATCCCTCGGACACCCGGTGTGATGACTTCAGTTTTAACCTCAGCCAGCAGATTTCAGCATGTTCTCTGGTCACAGGAGTGAATGGGTGAGAACGAAGCTGCATCAGCACATACCCTCACTCCCGTGGGGGCAAACGCCACGTGTGCGAATTCCATTCAGTACCTTCTCATCGAACACACCGCAAGCACCGTGGAGGGACTGGGAGACACGCCTTGTTGCCTGGAGTACATCCGGCTGCCTGCTCGACTTCCTGCTCTTTCCCTAGCCTTTCTCATCCCTTCAGATGGCTCCTCAGACCAACCTAAGCCAGAGCCTAGGGGTTTTTCTGGACATCTGCCTTCTCCAGCCCTTCAACTCCTATGAAACCTGGGTGGAAACCTTTCTGTCCTCGGCTGCCACCGCCAACACCTAGCACGCACATCTCTCACCGGTAGACTCCTAACGGGTGTCCCTTTTTTCCGTTTACTTTCTTCCAGTCCCTTTTCAAGGGAACAGCCAGGAAGATCTTTTAAAAAGTCTAAATCAGTTCATGTCACTTCCCAATTCAAAATTTTTTTTTTTTAATTGACGTCCTATTGCAAGTGTAATAAAAACCAGACGATTTCCTGTGGTCCCACAAGGGCCTGCCCGCCTCAGCAGCCCCACCTCCTGTCACTGTCTCTCTCACTACATCCCGACCATGATGGCCTTGGCACCTGCAGTGTCCACTGCCTGGAATGCTCTCCTTCCCAGCCTTGAGCCAGCTGGTACCTTCTCATTGTTTGGGCCTTAGCTAAGATAGTACCGGTTCTACGAGATCTCTCCTCCACCAGAGGGCGCTCTGCAGGAGGATCCCTCTGATGCACTTAAACCTCCCTGTTTCCCCTTGTTGGGCGCACAAAGTATTATAATCGTGTATGTTTGCAGCTGGTCCTGTGTGACCACTCCTTCCTCCACTAGACCGGCAACTCCCTTGGGACCGGAGGGATGTGTGTGTGTGTGTGTGTGTGTGTGTGTGTGTGTGTGTGTTCTCTTTTCCCCCCTGTTTCCAGGGCGTGGCCCATGCCTGCACACAGTGGGTCGTAAAGAATTGTGAAAGACTCATTTCAGCACTTAAAGCTAGTTCAACTTTTTTTAGTTTCTCAATCTTTATATACAACTAAGAAAAATGTGGAAAAATTGAGAAAATTATTTTCTATGTTTTTTTCCACCATTGGAACTATTTTTAGGAAGGGAATGCCACTCCGTATCACCTCATCAAAAGGAAAAGGGTGCGAGTTTTCAGTAATTGTATGATTTGGGGCTATTTTTAAGACGGTGATACATATTTTTTTTAACTGAAATCCCGATATATAAAAACGAACTGTTCTTTTTATCTATTTAGGGCTCAGGTCACTGAAACGTTTAAATTCTTGGCTCCACTCTTTAAACCCATTACAAAGATCACATTAGAATTCATTTTACTAGACTTTGTAAGCATGGAATCCAATCTCATATGATCACGCTGGGCTCTTTTATTGTGAGAGTCGCAGGAAGCAGAGCCCGAGGCTGCAGAACAGTCATCGGGTGTACCCAGGGCTGGGGCCGGTGCCAGCCCTATTGTTTACGGAATGTTCTCTCCGCTTTTATCTGTGGTGTCCAATCGGTGCTGACTTTTGAGGAGCTACTTCTTTGCCCTGATCTCCCAGTTGGAAAAAAACCTGCGGTAATGACATCTGGCTAGGACGGAAGGATCAAAGCAGCAGAAGGGAAGAAAAATTAGGACGCCTTGTTTAATATACAGCTTGGGGCCCCTCTGTTCGCTCTGTTATAGGGAAGTGTGTTCCACTTTTCTGAGGTCACCCCCCCCTTTGTCCCCTGGAAAAGCCCAGTGAGCTAAAACTATCCGTTGTTTTTGCTGTTGACTCCTAGGGTTGGGCCTACTTAGCATTTAGCAAAATGTCTTTTCGACTTTATAGCTCTTTAGAAATAAATACTGTTCACCGAAATTAAGATAAAATTTGTGATATGTATTACTTCTTATTTTTGTTTTGTGTTTTTGTAAAGAGGATGGCAGTCAACTTTGGACATTTTTTTTTCAATTTTTAGGTGTATCACTGGAGGAGTTTTTAAACATTGTAAGGAAAAAGAAGGAAGCTCAGGTATATTGGAATGAAATAAGACACATCTTCACAGCTTTTGACAGATACTGTAAGTCTCTTTAAACTGTTTTTATAGTAAAAATGACTGTTAAGGCCCTCACCGGTGTGGCTCAGTGGATTGGGCATCATCCCACAAACTGAAAGGTCTCTGGTTTGATTCCCAGTCAGGGCACATGCCTCAAATGTGGGCCAGGTCCCTGGTTGGGGTTGTTGCAAGAGGCAACCGATTGATGCTTCTCTCTCATATCGATGTTTCTCTTCCTCTCTTTTTCTCTCCTTTCCCCTCTCTCTAAAAACAAATTAGTAAAATCTTAAAAAAAAAATTTCTATTAAGGAACTATGAATGGGAACATATACTCAATAAGCCAAATAAATATACTTGGAAGTTTATTTTACTGTCCTCATTAGCTATCACCTTAGGTATTGGTGGGAGTTTTTTTTTTCCTCCATCATGATTTTAAATTCTTGGCATTTACCATGGATGAAATAACGTTGACAGCTATGTACTTGTACTTATGATTATAATCGGGACAACAAAAGGGCTGGCCGTGTGGAGTATAGGTCACGAGCCACCTATGGAGGTGTGGGAGACTGTGGCGTCTCCTTTGACTCCTGCTTTGACCCACCAAGTGCTAGAGGCACTGTTTCCCCTCGCTGGATGTGGCTGAGAGGGTGGCTACAGAGCCCCCCGCCCCACGGACCTCACATAGGGCGAAAACGCTCACGGAGTCCAGGTTCAGCATCTTGGCTGCTATTATGGCTTCCCCTTCAATATGATTATATTATCATTCCAGCGCCAAGCAAGAAAAAAAGTGAATCTTGAAGAATAAATTGTTTTGGCGGTTTACAAAGACTTGAAGCCTGCTGCTGTTATTGCAGTGCCTGTCTCTGTAGTCCTTTCCCTGGGACTTGGGGACTCAGCGAATGACAGGACTGGAAGTGACCCTCCAGATCGCCCGTGACTTCACCGAAGGAGAACATCACTGGATTCTTAAATTCTCCCATGGAGACACTCGTAGTTTATCTTACATGTAAATCAACTGTTAATCACTGCTCTTCTCCTCATAGCATGTTAAAGTATCGTGTAAGTCCTGACCAGTGTGGCTCAGTTTAGTTGAGCATTGTCTTGCAAAGTGAAAGGTTGCCAGTTTGATTCCTGGTCGGAGCACACGCCTAGTTTGTGGGTTTGGTCCCCGATTGGGGCGCATGATCACTCTCACACTGATATTTCTCTCCCTCTCTTTCTCCCTCCCTTACCCTCTCTCTCTCTAAAAAAAAAAAAACAAAACAAATAACCGAAATCTTTTTTAAAAAATAAAGTAGCATGTAAGTTTTATGGCTGAAATAACAGTTTATAGGGTTCATAGAGGTAAGTGAATGTTTTATATTTTGTTTTCAAACAGATCGTGGCTATTTAACTTTGGAAGATTTCCAAAAAGCATTCAAGCAGGTGGCTCCCAAGTTACCAGAAAGGAGCGTTCTCGAGGTTTTCCGGTAAGGCACCAAAGTCTCCCCGTACACCCACCCCTTGGTGTGCCGTTTGCTTTTACAAGTTCTCAGTTTTATGGCGAGCACCTCTCTGTGCTGATTTTTCCCTAAGGGACATTTTCATCTCACCATATAGTATCTCGATGCAGGAGAGACATTATTTACAGTTCGCTCTTATTAATGCACCAATACCCTCGGTGGTGGCTGCTTGCCCGCCAGGGAGGCGCGTAAGAACAGTTGGTGAGGGTGGGAGAGGGACAGGAGGAAAGTAGAACTTCTTTGTATATTTATGTATCGCCCAGAACCGACGAAGCTTTGATATTTAATGTGGGACAGGCTGCGCGTGGCCCCCGAGGTGTCCGGAGAGAAGAGCTGGCCTGGCGTGGTGGTGGCGCCCTCGTGGTGGAGCCTGCGTGCCTGATAGAGCAGATTTGGAGAGTATACTATGTTCTGCTGATGAACCGATCCTGACAAAATGGGCAAGCGGCTTAAGGGGTTTTTGTTAGGAAGCTGCAGGTCGAAGGTCATAGGCTGACCTGAGAAAATGGTGGAGCGGCCCCTCCTCTGACCGTGAGTGGGAGCTCTTCATCGGCCCTGTTACCAGGTGCATTAGTCGGGGCGGCTCAGCAGTGCAAGCCAGGAAACCCCAAATAACCCAGCTCAGAAAGACAGCAGTGTCCTTCTCTCTCACGCAGACTCGGCGGTCCAGGGCTGATCTGAGGGTAACATAGTCAGGAAGGGCCCAGATGCCTCCTTTCTCCTTATTCTGGCTGCCTCAGCACCTGGCTTCTCCCTCCTCCTCCAAGGATTGCTTCAATTTCATCCATCACACTTGAACCCCAGCAAAGTACCAGCATGAGGAAAGGGAGCAGAAGATACGTCCCTCCTTTTAAGCCTCTCCATTATTCCTACGTACGTCCCCGTGACCAAAACTTAGTTCCAAGGTCATGTGGGATATGCTGTCTTTGCCCTGAGAAGTCACGTGTCCTCCAAGTTTCTGATACTGAAGAGGAAGGAGAGAATGGATATTGGGGGGCATCTGGCAGGTGTTCCCATTTGGGATTAAAGTAATTTCATGAAATCTGACCAGAAGTCAGCCCTGCCCATTAGAAATGATCAAATAGGTCATTTGCAGTAAGGAGTTGCACTCACCGTGGTTAACAGTGACGTGTATGAAATCCTTTCGCTGCATCATTCATGAGCAAGGCGTTGAGCAAACTGTCGGAGCGTGGCCAGGCAGTTGAAGGCACGGACAGGTGGAGTGCCACAGGGCAGTATTGCTTAGATGGTTCTAGGACGAGAAGTCCTTTAAAATATAATAGCATCTTTGTAGACGCTTTGTGAGATGAGTAATGAATGTCAATGTACTTCTATTGTATGGGGTTGTTTTAACTAAAGAACAAAGAATCATTACTGTATTTTCCTTTTACCAAAAGACACAGTGTCCAAATTTGCTGGCCCTTACGTGTTAAGGTCATCTTACTTCTATGAGGTGGGTCACCCCATGGAGATGGGATGACCTACCTCTGAAGTTTTCTGAACAGTACCCCTAAATATAGCCCTTCAAGAGAGAAGCAATATTTTAACAATAAGCGAGAAAGTACCTCCAAAGAAGCCTGTGCTACCGGAGAGCATTTTTGGAAATGGGTGTTTAGAAATGTGATTTTTTAAAAGATTTTATTTATTTATTTTTAGAGAGGGAAGGGAGGGAGATAGAGAGAAACATCAATGTGCGGTTTCTGGGGGCCATGGCCTGCAACCCAGGCATATACCCTGACTGGGAATTGAACCTGCGACACTTTGGTCTGCAGCCCACGCTCAATCCACTGAGCTACGCCAGCCAGGGCTAGAAATGTGATTTTTAAAAAATGATGTGTGTCACCAATTAAAACCCTTCACATCTGCATGTTTAATAAGTTAAAAATGGAATGTCCTAAGTTTCAGTGGGCTTAGAACGCAATTTTTAAAAATTTAAAAATTTGATAGCTCTCATAAATTTTCAAGAGCAACTAATGTCAGGAAAGGAGGACATTTACTTGCTGAATGTCAGTTAGCAGTAACAACAAAGTAATAGTTAAAAAGGACGACGACAACCCTAAACCTTTTCATAATCGGGGGATGGAATTAAAAACTGAGGGGCCGTGATGTCCTTTTTCCGTTCGTGTCTGCCTGTATCCGTGGCATGTCCCTGGCAGCCAGTGAAGCCAAGTATTAAAACAGATTACTCGAGCACAAGGGATTAAACTGTGATGTTCAGAAATAATGAAGTACATTAAATCACGTCCTTGATAAATATGGTGAATAATTCCTAGTGACAGCAGAAAGCCATTTGCCATTAACAAATAAAATATTTGCATCTTTAGTTCCTTAGAATTTCCACATTATATTTTATAATGTGCATAATATAGTAACGGAGTAGCACATGTGCATGTAACGTATTGATAAATGTATTCATAGGCCTGTACATCCGATCTTCCCCAGGATTATGTGACCACGGCAGTTTGGAGACCACCGCAGTGTGCAACCAAACCAGGCATGATAGTTCACTGAACATGCCCTGATTAAATTCTCCTTTGTGTTATCCTTTTATAGCACTGTAATTTCTAAGCAGAATAAATGATGCGTGATAAGCATTAAATGAAGTTGTGGAACCAAAAAAGGAGAGAAAAATGTTTTTCCAAGTATGAATCAAAGTTGGCCAAAGAAATAGCGATGTCTAACTTCCACACATATCTCTGTTTTGGTGGCACAGGTGGTTTCAAAGAAGAAGGAGAATCGGTAATGTAAAATTACATAATGTTTCTAGGGTTAGACACTCGGTGTTTGAGAAGCTTGAGTGGTGGTTGACTGAGTTGACCAGCATCAGTAGAGTTCAGTACCCAGGTTCCCAGTTACCTGGAAGAAAGCTGGTATCTGATCACTAAAATAAGGCAACGAAAGAGGGAGGTTTCTAGTTGGCACAGGCATCTGCGCCTTTCATGACTGAAGGAGCGAGTGTTCATCATTTTCAGTTCGGTGACTGCCAGATCCTTCCCAAAGAAACTTCTAAAGATCAAGAGCTGTCTCTTCCAGAAGTGCTTGCCCATATTACACTTTCATTTTACAAGCTAAACCGAAAAAGCACAACAATAAAACCAACTAGACAACCAAAGCCAGTGATTCAAAAAGACAGACTTGGGTCATGAGGCATCAAAGAATCATTTCACTTTATACCTTGATAGAAACACTGGTGTGTCATGGATTAAATTGGAGGGCATTCCAAGGACGAAATGAGAGACTTTTATAAGGTTTGTGAATTGGTGCCTAACTATTTCAGTTACGTCTACCTTGATTTAAAAAAAAAAGATTTAATTTATTTCTAGAGAGAGGGGAACGAAGGGAGGAGGGGGAAAAAGCATCAATGTGTGAGAGATACATTGATGGGTTGCCTTTTGCATGCCCCAGCCAGGGATCTGGCCCACAACCCAGGCACGTGCCCTGACTGGGAATCGAACCGGTGACCTTTTGGTTTGCTGGCTGGCACTCAATCCACTGAGCCACACCAGCCAGGGCATGATTTTTATAATGAATAAAAGCAATGTCTTTTAAAATATATACAGCCAGGGTTCATAACATTCACATTCTGTTCTGCAATCATAATCTTTTTCATTTTAACGTTACTTTTACAAATAAATGGATTCACAGCTCACCTCCAGGCCTTGTGCCATTGCTTCCATTTAGCTGAAGCTGGTCCTCTGTCCAGTAGGGATCATCAGACTATCTTCCCTGGCGTCGTTCATGTTCAAAAATGTCGTAAAAGTACACAGTGGATTGACTAGTAACAGGTTTGCGTCACTTTCTTTTTCTTTGAGAACACCGATTATGCTCATGTTGGACGGACGTCCTTTTACAATTTTTGTTAGTTTCTATTTCATTTGCCTGTTCTGCTCGCATGTCTCTTGGGGTATTGTTGGCAACGTACCTTCTCCCTCGTGCTGCACCCAGTGTGGCATGCCCTGGCCCCGCCTTACGGTATTATTTTTCTTGTACATTTCTTTCTTGAGCTGTATCTGCTGGCGTTACATCTCCCCTAAGCTTTTCTATTTCTACATTGAACTCATGTTTTATGGAGGTGCTTGCTGTATTGGGAGAAACAATGATTTTTGAGATTATATTTTATTTTTTTAAAGATTTTATTTATTTATTCTTGGAGAGGGAAGAGAGGGAGAAAGAGAGAGAGAGAGAGAGAAACATCAATGTGCGGTTGCTGGGGGCCATGGCCTGCAACCCAGGCATGTACCCTGACTGGAAATCGAACCTGCGATGCTTTGGTTTGCAGCCTGCACTCAATTCACTGAGCTATGCCAGCCAGGGCTGAGATTTTATTTTTAATGGGTGATTACTTGGGGGCTGCTGTTACAGCCTTTTAAATATAAATTGAAGAAAGAAACTTTCCTACCAAAGAAGGGGTTTTGAGGAACAAGTTACTTTGTTAAGCCAAGAGATGATACCTTGTATAAAAAACAAAAATAAAAATTGGTAGTAGTTTGTTTTTCCTAACGTATAAAATATTTAATATTTGGATTTCAAAATTTGAGGTTCCTTTCAGTGTTTAAAACATAATTTCTACTTAGAGCCAGTAATCACGATTTGTATATTTGCGTTCTAAAATAACTGTTTGCGTAACTAAAATAATTTTTTCTACCCACTGCAAAGGGCAGAAGTTCAAGAGGTGTGAGAACTGACAATGCTGTTTATACAGTGGAATCAACGTGAGATAACAGGCTGTTCCTAGTACAAAAAAAGGTTAAAGAAATATTTCCTTTTTCATATTAATAGAACTCACTGAAAATTTTGTAGTGCTGTTTTTTTTTTTACTTTTTTTTTACAATTTTTTTAAATTTATTTATTTATTTATTTTTAGGGAGGGAAGGGAGGGAGTGGGAGAGAGAAAGAGAGAGAGAGAGAGAGAGAGCTCAATGTGCGGTTGCTGGGGGTTATGGCCTGCAACCCAGGAATGTACCCTG